TCATTTTACCTTGATTGCATCGATTTCTGATCTAATCTCTTTACTTAAGCTGTTTATCTTGTCACATATCTCAGCTTTTCCACTCTCAACTGTTTTGATGATCTGATCCTTTATTGATGGTGACTTCAAGCACTCATCACACACAAATTTGACGTTATCACATGCCTTCAATAGTTCTAACGATTCCTCAGTCATGCCGACAGCAAACGAAATCCCACAACAAACACACTGAACATCTGTTGATTCCTTTTCACATCGTAGAGCATCGCTATTAGAATTTTTCGTAGATCTTCCTTTACCAGCCATCATCACCAGATCGAAAGTTTAATTGAAGTTTTAGTAAACGCGTTATCCAAGCCGACAAGTTGTGTAAACGTGTGATATAAATTGACAAAATTTTAGATCAGTAAACAGTATCTACTCAAACAATTCTTGAGTTTATATAGTCTATAAAATCGACACGATAAAAAAAAGACACAACACAACAACACAAGTTTGCCAAGCTATAACGCGTGTACAGTACAAACAATCCTACAACAATTACAAGCTTAGAACTTTCCACTTCGCCAATTTAAACACAAATTAATTTTAAATTTAACGAAAATAGAGTTAAATAAATCAAAAATTGCTACAATTAAATTTTCGACAAAAAAAAATTATATCACCCTACAAATGTAAATTATCCCTATCAAATAAAACTAAATTGAGTCAAAACTATTAACTACAAACAACAAAACTTAAGAAACCACAGAGCAAATCAAAAATACAACCAGCACGTATAAAGCAAAAAATATATGTATGTATGTATGTATGTATGTATGTATGTATGTATGTATGTATGTATGTATGTATGTATATATATATATATATATATATATAATACACCCATAACAAAACATACAAAACAAACAAAGCACACCCAAACACACACAACTATATACGAGTGTCTGAATGTGTGTGTATGTGTTTACGTGTGTGTGCGTGTGTGTGTTGTGTATGTGTGTGTGGTGTGTGTGCGGTGTGTTGCCTGGTTTGTGTACACAGAATAAATAGATGTCCATGAAAGCACGTATTTGAACTTGCACAACATTACAGCAAGCACTTCATTTAAATTAATGAAAAGACGTCCAATCAAGAATGTCTCGTGCGAATATTTACCTTTTTTATACAGCACAAACATAACGTCTGTGTAGACGAGCTTTTTTTGAGTAATTATAATGTAATGTTTGACGTCATGCTGGGCTGATTGCTGTTGTTGATGTAATTAAATTTCATGTTGAGTTGGCTCACACCTTCGACATTCTTCATTTCAAGTATGAAGCCAGAGACGACTTCAACAAAACTTTTTTAAAATTTTTCTTGATAGAGTGGAATATTTTAACATCTAATGAACTTCAACAAAATGGATGAGGAGTTTTTGGTTGAGTTCGATGGCGTATGTTAACGTTAAATTCAAATTGCTGAGCTGTATTAATTTCATTTTATATTTAATTTATATTAAACTTAAATTTCATGCTAAACTTAACAAATGTTATTTGGTCAACATGTTTAAAACTGCTTAAACCATTGAATAATTATTGATGGACTAATTAGATTCAAATTTGAACCTCGATTAAAAATTAAAATTATGAATTTTCATTTTGTCGATTGAGTTTAACAATGGAATATTTCATAATTAAACAACTTTTAGGTTGAACTACATCTTAAAATAGAAATTTACGTAGCAGAAAATGAGCACATGTTGGTTGGTTCTGATGAATTTAAAAAATAATTTAAAACTTTCAGAACAATGTGGTGGATCATGTGAGAGACGAATTCAGATTAATCAACTTCGTCTTTCCAATAAAAAAATTTAATCTTTTCAATAAATGCCAGGTTACTATTATTTTAATAAACGAATTCATAAATATCAAATATTCATAAATTAACGAATTAATAACCTAATTCTAAACGAAATTTCTTAACCAAAATTTGCTTTAGAATATTATAATGTTCAAACGGTGTCACGCCTCATAGAGCATTCTACGTAGATACTCAAATATATTCCACATTCAGTATATTCCAATTATGAACACTGTACAAACCTTTCGGCTGTTACAGTGAGTCTGGCGGGCTTGCACATCAACGATCTACTATTACTATTAACACTAGTACTCCTACTACTACTACAGCTACTGTCATACATACTACTACTACTAATACTACTAATGTTGCTACTACTACTACTAATACTACAACTACCGCTACTGTTGCTGCTAATATTAATATTACTATTAATACTCTCACTATAAATACTACTTCTATACTATACTGCTACATTTCATACTAGCAAAATCTATTATAGTAGTTTTTGCTGAAAATACCTCTAGCTTCATAGTCAAAATCATTTTTGTTAGGTGTAATGATGCATTTGTTAGCCTTTACCATTGATATTCGTTTCTTCAACAGTGGCCCATTCCAACAATCATCTTCCTGCTGTTCAAGGTATTGATAGCCGTGTACACAGGACTGTTTACCATCTTTGCTCCAACTTTTGTGGGACTCAAATATTTTTGCTACCTAACGAACGTATCGTATACAATAGTTGCAATTTATTTCATCATATCAGCTTTTAGAACCGTAATTTTTGAAGTTTTATTTGGTGCATCTCACAAAATTCAGTTTGCTTCGGACAGTAATAATCACAATTCAAAAAATCAAGTGATGAAGGTTGAAGATCAAAGTGGAGCAAAGTTGGTAATGTTGAAAGTAAGCATTTATGTCGAATGGATGGCTCGTCACCTCGGTTACTGCCTCTCCCTGATAGTTTGTGTTTCTTTCTACTCTTTGGAGGCCAGAGTTGATGGGGAGCCTGGAACATCTCTCTTCGACGTCAACTCTCACATCGTCATCAACTTCATCGTCTTTATCGATTTGTTCCTCTCAGCAACGCCCGTCAAACTGTTCCATTTTATCTGGTTAATCATTCTCGGCATGTTCTATGCTCTTTTCACATATTTCTACTTCAACGCCAATGGCGAAACTTTGTACAAATCCTTAAACGATCGAACCAACCCGTCAGCATCCTTAATGTATTCATCGATGATCGCCATATTTGGTTCTATTTTGAGTACTCTGTTAATTTATTGCTGCTATTTGTTGAGAATATTTTTGTACATTAAATTAAGATTAGCCAAGAAAAAGATATTTATTTAAGGCAGGTCAATTTTAGTGTGTGTGTGGGCGCGCGTGCGTGTGAGTGTGGTGTGTGCGTTTGTGTGTGGTGTGTGTGCGATGTTGGTGTGGCGTGTGTGTGTGTGTGGCGTGAGAGTGTGTGGTGTGTGCTTGAGTGTGTGTGTGTGGATTGTGTAGAATTTGCTTTCTAGATTAATAAATTTACTTTTTTGAATTGTATGTAAATATAAATTAAAAATTTTTTTTGTGAAGAAAAATTTTTTAAATGTTTTTTCCCAGTGTTTTAAGGATTTACAACAGAATTTTGAAATTTTGAATTTTATTTTTTTAATTAAGAAAGCGCAATTACTTGGTCTAATCAAAATTAAAAAAGTTATTCAAAATCATTTAATTATAAGTCATTAATTCATTTAATTATAAATCATTAATTCATTTTTTTTAAGTTTCACAAAAACATGTCACGACTGAAATATACAGTTTATGTATAGCTGCTATTTTAAACGCAATACATGCTTTTTTGAACAGTTTTAATTATGTTGAGTAGATTCGTGTATTTCGATTAGGTACTTAAATTGTGTGAAATGATTATTTAAGGTTCTAAATATTTTATTTTGTGACAAACATTACTGAAAAGGATAAGCAATGCAATCACCTGGTTTATGAGAAACAATTTAAATATAATTTATATCCATCTAAACGCGAAATAACAAAAAATTTAAAGATACCTTAACACAAGAAACAGTATTTACTTGTAAATAAGATACCTGTCCTTTTTCATCTATCTCTCTCGAAACAAGCCAACTGATCTTACGGTAGGTGGAGATTATTTTTTAAGGTTGACGACAACTTTTTTGCTTATTTCTCATTACATTACTTAATTAGTTTGCCAGGATTTGATTATTTTGCAGAAGCATGCATTCCAGTTAATCTTCACTTGTCTCCAGATTAGTCGATCTTTAGTTTGGAGATAGCTACATACTGATTTTTTAAATGTGGAAATTAAAATTTTTTTTTTTCAAGGTCTGGTGAAAGATTACTTATCCCTCTAAATTCTATCACACTTAGATCCACCACCAGTGGCGAATCGAGAAAACTTTGACGGGGAACCAAAATGGAAAATGCTTAAATTCTCACGAAGGGGGCTAAAATTTTCACGGACGGGAAGGGGCCACAAAATTTGTGTAGTGTGGCTGACGACCTTCTTTTTGCTTACAGAGTTCAATTTTTTGTCGATTTTACGCATAAAACCGTTCTTTTTCAAACTTTTATTTTGATATTTGCAGTCACATTGGAATTTTCAAAAGTAATTTTAAAAATTTTATAAGAAGAGCTATAAACTGTGTTTAAACTACTTGACACAAATTTTTTGAAACTTCAATCATAAATTGTTATCAGCTTATTTATTGCTTCAACTAAGAACAACCACATAATGCGAGTAACTTCTTTTATTCTCTGCAATATAAAACTTTGACAAAAGGTGCGGAAACAAAAGATGATACAAAATGGTAACAAAGGAAAACAATACAAAACTTCATTCTTAATGAATTTAACAGAAGATAATGAAAGAATAGTTACAGACATTTAACAAGTTGATGGATGCATGTGCTGAAGTATGTTGAACCTTCCATTCAAATGCAAAAGTACCTTACAAAAACTTAAACGTTAATACATGTAAACGCAAATTAAAATTTGTGAAAAAAACATTTGAATGAATGGAAGATAAAGAATGAAGCAATTTGTTTTATTGGTTCTCGCAAGTAAGGGTTGTTATAATTTTTAAAACTGTTATGCTAAAAATTTAACAAAATTGAAATATGATTTATCTAAGTTATCGATGTGAAGTGAACGTTCGTTTCCATCATGTGGTCTATAAAAGTGTTGTTGTAGCAGGAGGAAATTAATGATAATTTTGAAATCAACACCGCAATTAAAAAAATCGTTTTGGGGCTTAAAATTTGCTTTTCAAAGTCATTTCACATTTTTATTATTTAAATTTTTTTATTTTTCAGCTGTATAATGTAGTTATTCGTATTTGTTTATTATTTATTATATTATTTTGACCATTTTATTGTTGAATTGGTGACTTGCATGTTGAATGTTTGACATTTGACATTTTTTATTTCATCAAATCTAAACAAAGAAATGATATCAATGAAAAGAAATGATCTGGAAATCGAAAAGAAAATATGGTTTTCTTGTAATGATTACCAGTGACAATTGTAAAAATGAGATCATATTTTAAATATTTTAGTGCATGTAAACTCACATTCATATTACAAATCCTAAAAAAAACTAAAAATGGAATCAAAATAATTAAATAATCAACTCTTTTACATTTTTATCAGAATGTCGTGCGTAATTATTAAAACACAAATAGTTGAATGTTGAAAGCGTTAGTCGAAATTTGGTTTGATCTTTGTAAAGAATAATAAGAAATGTGTTGCTTAAGTTCAAGATATTGTTAGAGCATCTCAAATATTAATATATCAACATCTAACAACTTCACCGCAAACTTTTTGATACTATTCCCCTTAGAAAATTTTCAAAGTTAAAACTCTTGTCTCCTACACCAATCTCTTCCTTCTCCATCATATCTCTCAGTTGTTTTTGAGAATAATACGAGGTATCTTCATAACTGTGGTCGTTATCACTGACCTTCAGTTGATCAGGTAGCAGCAAGATCTTTCTTGCGGTTGCTGGTTTTATGCCTCGTGCAATGATATAAGGGTGTTTATTGAAATTATTTTTAATAAAATTAAAACTTTAATAGAATTTTTTTCAATATTTAAAATGAAGAAAGTCTTCTTGCGTTCATTCAACGCTGCCTCAATATTGTTTACAATGCATATAAAATATAAATCAACCTTTCAGAATTTATTGCGTTATTAATCAAAAGACCTAACTTCTCAATGAGTAACTCACCATACATGAAGTTGAGGAACACTATTGTTATTTCACATTTTCTTTCTCTCTCTCTCTTTCTCTCTCTCTCTTTCTCTCTCTCTCTCACTCTCTCTCCCTATTTCTATTTTTTCCTCTCTCCTCTCTCTATCTCTCTTTACCTCTCTCTCTTTCTCTTTACCTCTCTCTCTCTCACTCTCTCTCTCTCTCTCTCTCTCTCTCTCTCTCTCTCTCTCTCTCTCTCTCTCTCTCTACAGTGCGTGTGTGTGTGTGGCGTCATTATGCTGTTATGCTGTTCCAAACAGAACTTGTAAACCATTCATTGAAATGCAGTTTTTATTAGAATGCATTTTCATTTTCAATAAAAAAATAGGCAAAACAATTTATGTCATGCCTCATTATAAACAGGCGTATTAAAATGAAAAACTAACAAACCTTTGTCCCAATTGAACCTACCTACTTACCTAAGTTTACGCAATAACAATTAAATACTAAATTATTTAACAATTAATCAAATTTTGGAGAACTTTTTTAATAACTTTGCGGTAAGACTTGTAGACTTATATATAACCCACTGAGGATAAATTCTACATGCATGCACCGACAGTTTAACAAATTAATACAATCTTCATCTCGCACATCACTGACTATCTTAATAATCATGAAGAAAAGAACATTGAACAAAGCACATCTTGTTCGTCAATAAATAAGTGGATTAGATGTTTCAACTGTTAGGTCATATTTTAAAGATATATTCTTCATTTGGCTGTCCGGCAGTTTGCGCTGGTTAAGATGCATCATTCTCGTGTGTGTGTGTGTGTGTGTGTGTGTGTGTGTGTGTGTGTGTGTGTGTGTGTGTGTGTGTGTGTGTGTGTGTGGGTGTGGGTGTGTGATGTCCGTGTATATTTTATAATTATGTTATTATATATACTTGTTTATATAAGTAGTCGCAACATCATTATTCGATTAATACAAATTAAATTAATAATTACTTATTAGACTCAAATCAACTACAACAACAACACACGTTTAGACGACATTTTCCCCGAGATCGGGGGTTGCCGTTCGGCTACCTATGATGAAACCGAAATACCCCTCGACGCCATTCACATCTGTCACTCGCCTCAGTATCACGCAACCCCGATTTCACTCTGTCCTTCTCCACCTGCTCTCTCCATCCCAATCGCGGACGACCCCTTCCTATCACTCCTTTAACCTCGAACTCCATTAGACTCAAATCATTTTACTAAGTTAATTATTATAACTATATAAATATGTGCCCACACTTTGCATATAATTAATAAAAACTGCATATATAAATAATAAATAAAAAAATAAATGAACAAATAATTTTATAAATAAAAATATAGGCGATTGTTGAACGATTACGTGAATAGACGAATGGACCAACGAACGAACGAACGAACGAATGAATGATCAAAAAAATAATGAACAAGGGGACGATCATATTCACGACTAAATGAATGAATGAATGTATGAATGAATATAAAAATTAATAAAGAATAGTTTGAGAGCTTTAATGCAGTTACACAAGATATATATATATATATATATATATATATATATATATATATATATACGACAATTCATCTATTCATTCACTCACTCATTCATTCATTCATTCATTTGATTGTTTGACAGGGCTGAATAACATTTTCAGTTTCACATTACTTTACAGAAAGGCAAGCTTAATGTTTATTCGAGATTTGATTGTAGATAATTTAAAACCGAATGAACGATTTTCAATAATATAAGTTTAAAAAATTAGTTTCAAGTTTTTTTTTTTTGGATGAAAATGGATGATGAGATACTCTCTGAATTCGACGAAGTTGGTACAAATGCTTGTTGAACTCTCTTGTGGTGATTCGTATCTAAATAATTTTATCACCTCTTAAATCTAATTCTTATTATTTCAATTGTTCATAAATAAACAGAAAAAAAAATTATATATAACAAATGCCTATTGAACTGAGTAGATGTGATCACATAACAAAGTGACTCTACTGGCTACCTATCAAGGATGTAATAAGATTTAAGATGACTGCAGTGGCTCATGGTTACTTGCATGGTGGGAGCACAGAATTTAGGTAGGTACGGGACATGTAACGTTATCCAGTTCATTTGAAATTATAGTTATACCCAAATTTAGGACAAAACTGGCTGATAATGTACAAGTTGCTCTGCCAAATATATGGAATAGTCATTCAATAGCATATATTAAAACAGATAGTTTCAGTGAAAAATTTGAGGAGTAATTTGTTTAATAGAGCATTCCATCACGATTTTAACCTCTTATGAATGCGAATTGAGTGAATAACATTATAACGGTGATAAACTGGACACGCTGTGACGTTGACGCTTTAGTGAAAATCTGGAAGTTAACTAAATCTAGTAAGAGAGTTTTAATGATTGTAAGCAAAGATTAAGGTGACAGAATATTTTTCGTCCTTCATTGTTATTTCTGATTTACTGACGGATTAATTTTCCACCGAGAATATTTATTTAAATTCACGTACCTAATCAGGGATCCACTTTTTATTATTAATTTTCAGAAGTACGTGGTTGATCAAATAAGAGAAGAATTCAGGTTGAAAAACATTGTTTTCCCAATCAAGAAATTTAATCTTTTCAATAAATGCCAAGTGAGATATTTTATTTGAAAAATATTTTTTTTTAAAGAATTTTCAATACATTTATGTTCTGTTATAACTGAATATCTATTTAAAAAAATAAATGAAACAATAAATGATTACATGCATGAACTTGCAGTGGCCGATGCCTGCGATCATCTTCCACCTCTTCAAGATCATCACAGCAGTTTACATGACCTTGTTCACCATCATTGCACCATCTTCTTTTGGAAAAAGATATTTTAGTTACATCACTAATCTCTCATACACGGTAGCCACAACATATTTTGTTTTCTCAGCAATACGGGTAGTAACTGTTGAAGTTTTGACACGCGGACCTTCCAGTTCACTGGTGGATGTTCATGGAAACAAAACAAATTCAAGCAGTGAATTGTTAAATGATCACTTTAAAAATGACCCAAAGTTGATAATGTTGAAAATAAGCATTTACATCGAATGGATGGCTAGACACCTCGGTTATTGCGGCTCACTAGTGGTTGCCGTTTGCTATTATTCTCTGGAATATAATACGAAAAGTACATCAGAGACTACCTACTTAGACATCAATTCTCACATCTTGATCAGTTTCGTCATCATGGTTGACTTGTTTCTCTCCGCTTCTCCTATCAAATTGCTTCATTTTGTTTGGGCAACTATGGCCGGCTCGTTGTACACATTGTTCACTTATATTTATTTTAGAATGTACGATGAGGTTTTATATTACACAATTTTCAACTGGAGAGATCCTTCTATGGCCTCGTTGTACTTTCTAATAATTACCATATTTGGCTCTTTGCTGTGCACCATATTTCTCTACTTCTGCTATTTAATGAGGATCTTCCTTTATAATAAATGGAGGCAGTTCAAGAAAAATAAAAGTAATCTATAAAATATAAAGCAGATTTTGCTTGAAACTACTTCAACATGTTCTGTTACGTATTTTAAAATTGCAACAATAGGATATATATTATTGCATCTAACTTTATTTGATGGACAAGATTTGAGCACATCAATATGGCTTTAATATATAGTTGAAAGATAAAATTTTTGAATCAATAAAAATTTGAAGTAAATTAAATTTTATTTTAATGATAAAAAAACAAATTTTTGTTGTATCTTTTAATTGAACTTTTCCTGCTTATTGACTTCTTATTTGAAACGTTAAATGGCTAAATTTCATTAAAGTACAAACAAAGACCGTTTGGAGAATCTTCAAATGGTTCACAATAGATTAACTATATGCTGGACGTATGTGAACACTGGACATTGGCGAGTTTGAGAAAGATATGCAAAAAAATTAAAAAACCAAAAAACAATCCCTAAAATTTTTTTTTTTTGAAACACTAATAAAATTCAACATTCAGTAATATTAAAAATATTAATGTGTCATTTATCACAATGGTCTATGCATTCGCCTGGAGCGCTCAGGATGAGTTGTCATCTAGATCACAACTAAATATGTCTGTTAAAACAAATGATGCTTTAATTGCTTATTGAACAGTTGAAGAAACGGTTGTTGTCTGACAGGTGAGGGCAGAAAGAGAACAAAAGGAAAATCCTCTATTAGCAAGTGCGGACTTGTTGACGAGTTGATGTAAACCATTAGAGACATCAGATCGAAGTTGGTGCCCAACATTCTGACAAATACACAAAAGATCCTAAAGAAATGGCGGTTGCTGATTATGTATCCCAGGTACGTGATGACCACAATTTTGAAGAGGAGTCGTTGGCGTATTGGCAGCTAGTGCAATTTAATTAAACAAGATGAACTTGCTGTTAAATAAGATACGTCTAGAACGAGTTTAGCAAGTCTTTTTGCGCTTTTTGGAGAGAGGCGAGAGGAGAGAGTTTGAAGGGAACGCAATGTAAGATAGAATCGCTAAAATTATTTATAATGTGATAAACAACATGTTGGAAATTAACTTCTTCAATGTTTGAAATTCTAATGAAGTTGTGTTGCGTCACAACAAAGACACAGCTTAACACAGCAGTGAAGTCATATAACGTTAGCTCAAGATTGTCTACGATGCGTTTGATTACATTTCATAATTCATTGTTTCACATTTCATAATTCATTGTTATGAATTATTGAAATAGGTAATTCACCATACAAACTAGTGGAGAAGTAATATAACATTGTTGCTATTGCCCAACAACGAAAACAAAGAAGTAATAAAAACTAGCATTGTAAATAGTGACAAAGAAGAATATGATGCTATCGATGAAGAAAGGAGACCAAAGAAGATGACCAGCCAATAAAAAAACCTGACACCTAATTTCCATCTAAATTCACTTTGACAAAGTCAATCTCCATCTAAATTCATTTTGACAAAGTCAATATTTTCCTATATAAACAGCAGTAAGCACTGATGATGATTCCTTCGGAATCGAAAGATGGCCTTATTTGCAGCATGAATTCGGAAAATAAGTTTATTTTGAATTTTAATAAACTAAACGTTCACCAAAAAATTTTAGTGAGAAAAATTGAAAAAACGAACTACAAACATATTAACGCCAAACATTCGGTAGAATTTATAGAATATTGTTAAATATATATATATATATATATATATATATATATATATATATATATATATATATATATATTATATATATATATAAGTGAGTGTGTGTGTGTTTGTGTATATATTATATATTAATATATATTAATATATACATATATATATATGTATATATTATTTATATGTATATATTATATATATTATATATATAATATTTATTTATTTATTTCATCATTCGTTCATCCACCGGTCTTGCAAGGTTCAATAAAGTTCCCCCCCGACATATTGAGACTGAGTAACTGATGCTTTTTAAAAGCTAATAAAATTATTTTAAGTTATTTTTGAAAATTTTCAAGTGTTCTTTGTTCAAAAATATTATTTTTACAAATTTTAAGTTTTTTTGTCTCTGTTAGAGAAAGATGGGAGATGACGTTAGCACCATTGTTTTTATCGTTTGAATTCAATAGCAAACTTAACTTACACTGAATCTTCCAGTTCACTAGTTTCTAACATCTATTCTTTTAGCATTTGAACCAGATATCAAAGCAAATGAATGCCAACTTAGAAGCTATGCGGTTTCGGCTGCGCATGCAACGATCTGGTTTTAATCTCATTCCTTTTTATTTTAATTTTTAAAAACAATTCAAAAAACACGTTGAATAGCACTAAATAATAAACATAATTTTGTTTAATTGAAAAAACCTCAACTTAATTTCAAAATTCTTTAATGAATAGTTTTATCTAATTATACCGTAGGACACTGAAAATGGTATAGGAATAGCGAAAAAAGCTTTTTTGTTCTATCATGCATAAAATAGACAAAAATTTTGGTTTTGAACTCAAGAAACTTAAAAATTATGCTATTTACGACCATCAGTAAGAAAAATCGGAAAGTTAAACAGGAAGTTGACCAACACCGAACATATGTATATATATATTACTGAACGTTAAACCAGCATTTAATAACTTTAATAATTTAATGGTTACCATGGGATTTAATGAAACTTTATTTTCTTGTTTAGGTGGCCATAAGAATTTTTTTTGAATTCTATTATAGTCAAACTGCTTTATATTCCTTAATTTCAACCCTTAATTTTTGGAAGCAAATAAAATTTTTGTTTTATTCATAAAGCTCATTTGCTTAAATTGACGTACATAGTTAATAATTAATTTTAATTTTTTAACATTTCAGAATGATGTGGTTGATGAAATAAGAGAAGAATTTAGATTGCAGAATTTTGTTTTCCCAATCAAAAAATTTAATCTTTTCAATAAATGCCAAGTGAGATGTTTTATATTTTATAATATTTTTTACAGATCTTGCATTTAATTAAATTATTTCAAATAAGCTAAATAAATTCTATTCAGGAAAGATGAATGAAATAATAATAATAATAATATTTTATATAATCTGCAGTGGCCGATACCTGCGATCATCTTCCACCTCTTCAAGATCATCACAGCAGTTTAAATGACCTTGTTCACCAACATTGCCCCATCATTATACGGAGTTTTATACTTTTGCTATATCACCAACGTTGCATACAAAACACTCACGATATATTTCGTTTTCTCAGCAATACGGGTAGTAACTGTTGAAGTTTTGACACGCAGACCTTCCAATTCACGGTTGGATGTTCATGGAAACAAAACAAATTCAAGCAACAAATCGTTGAATGATCCCGTTAAAACGACGCAAAGTTGATAATGTTGAAAATAAGCATTTTCATCGAATGGATGGCTCGATACGTTGGTTACTGCGGCTCACTAGTGGTTGTCGTTTGCTATTATTTACTGGAGGTGAGAGTGGCAGGTACTTCAGGGAATTCCCTCTTTGACATCAATTCCCACATCTTGGTCAACATTATCGTCCTGCTTGACTTGTTGCTATCCGCTGCTCCATTCAAATTGCTTCATTTTGTTTGGGTAACCATGGCCGCCTTGTTGTACACATTGTTCACTTACATTTATTTTAGAATGTACGATGAGATTTTATATTACACAATTTTAAACTGGAGAGATCCTTCTATGGCCTCGTTGTACATGATCTTCGGCTCTCTATTGTGCACCATATTTCTCTACTGCAGTTATTTAATGAGAATCGTCCTCTACAATAAATGGAGGCAGTCTAAAAAAATAAAAGTAATGAATAATGAATATAGATTTCTTTTAAAACTTGAATATATTCATTTTATTTAAAAAATTGTTACACCCTCAACATAAAAAATATTAATTTTACATTTTTATACATATGAAAGATGAATTTTGAATTTAATATTAATACGAGTTGAAAGTTAATGAAATTTCAATTAATAACTGATTTTGCCATCCCTGTCTATAGACTCGATTTAATTAATGATTCGTATTTTAACTCTTCATTTGATAATAAAAAGTTATCCAAAGCTGATTTTTCCAAATGGATAAATTTTTCCGATCATTTAATTTTTTTGAAATATTGATAATTTATTTAAAACATCCATAAAAAGCGCACAGGATTCCGCTTATTATTTTTAAATTCGGTTTCAATAATAATAATTTTATTTTTTAGCACAATCTCCTTAAATGAAAACTGGAAAAAACCATTTGCAGAAAGTTGTAATGTTCTACCCGAGTTACTAAATCAGTTACTTTGTGTTGTGACTCACATATGACTTACCTGATCTTGCGTCAAAAATTATAAACTTTTAAATGGGATAAAAATAATTTTAGAATTAAAAAACCCCCTACAACCTCAATTGGACCAGTAAAATCGATAACTAGCAAATAATTTTGATGTAACTTTATCACTGACACACCTTAGAGATTAAAGTGTTTAAAAATCAACCTCGAGTTTATTTAACAGAACTTATTTTTTGAACTGATATCCTGAGATAATAATCAACCATCAATCATCATCATCGATGTCATTTCTATGCTATTCTTCAGCAAAAACTTTAAGTAGATAGGCCCTTGCTCGTAGAGACCCACTCATCTTCTTTCAACCAATTGAACAACTGCATAACCGGACACCCGCAAATCCAAACAAAAATACAAATGACTAATTGGAATTAACATTTGAAAATCAATTTTCAAATCAATAAACAACCAATCAACTACTAAACTAATGTAATTAATTAATATCAGTTAATATATATAAAACTGGAATGAGAGATATTGAAAATTAACGCAAATATATACATATATAAAAACATAATCATAACATAATTTAAAAAAACATAATTTATTTTATTTTTTATTTGGTCCAAAAATTCGCACTAACATTGTTAATATTCAAATTATGTTAAATAATAGTTGCATTAATAGAGTTGAGTCTACAAAATTTTTAGGCATTATTATTTCTAGTAATTTGTCATGGTCTGGTCATATTGAATTTATTTCACAAAAAATAACAAAAAATTTAGGTATAATATATCGTCTAAGATCTAAGTTTCCAAAACATGTACTTATAACATTGTATAATTCAATTGTTTTACCATTTTTTACTTATTGTATTTCTATTTGGGGCTTTACAACAATATCTAATTTACAAATTTTAAATCTCTGTCAAAATTTTTTTATTCGTATTTTGTATGGTTTAACAAAATCTCATCATGTCCGTCATTTATTTATTTCATCTAAAATTTTAAAAGTTTTTCAATTACATATTCTTTATACTTTAACGTTTTTTTATAAACTGTACAAACTCAATTATTGTCCTTCATTACGCAATCAACTAAATCACTTGATGGATGATCGTTCTAGAATTTTAAGACATACCAGAGACTTATTTTCCAAAACCTCGCACAAACTTTTTTATTAACTCAGTTTTTCATGTTTCATGTCGACTCTGGGATTTATTACCGAGTAACGTAAAAAATTCAAACACGCTTAGTCTATTTAAGAATTCAATTTATCAACTGATTTTGGCTGATCACTTTCATTCTTTTATAAATAGTTGAACATTTATTTTTTCTAATTTATATTTATTTATTATCATAATGTTTTTGTTATTCTGAATTTGCATTTTTTTTCTGCCAGAAGTTGGCAATAACGCTATGTTTATCTCTTATCATAATATAATCTTTATTTTTCAGTTATTATCAACACATTTTTTTTTAAATTTGTCGAATTTTTGGTTTAAATGTTTTCTTTTTGGTGGCCCAACAAGTGAAAACTTCGGGTCTCCTAGTAATGTATTTTTTGCTTTTACTGAATAAAAGTTTGTTTGAATTGAATTGAATTGAATAATCAGATTAGCAGCTAGTTAAAATGTTGGTATAATCCTGGACCTAGACCATCAGTTTTGATAACTCATCGTTGCTTCTGGATCTCTCAATCTCTTCAGAATTCCTCTCTATATTTTCACAAGAAACTGAGGAAAGATAAGTTGATGGAGACATTTCTTCATTACCGATTTCATTCTGCAACAAGTTTTCATCAATAGGTTAAATAAAACAAAAGCCATTAAAACGTTAAATTAGGAAAAATTATATTTTAAATATAGGATTCAAATGATGTCAACAGCAGAACGGACCACAAAGGATACAAATCACAAAAAATGATGGGCAGCTAAACGCAACAACTCCACGTGCAATCTGGAAGGGCGGTAGCCAGCCAGCTAAGTCTACAGATGGCTTCAAGAGAATTTACATGCGTTACGTGCACGTAATTATAACAACAATACTACTACTACTACTACTACTAATAATAATAATAATAATAATAATAGTAATAATAAGTCTGCCAGCTAATTATTCAGCTAATAATTCAGACTGAATAATTAAATGAAAATTTTGAATAACCAATGTACGTGAAAGGAAAAGAATTAAGATGGTAGCCTTTATCTCAAGCAACAAGTTTCACGTTGGAGTTTCATGATGTATGAAGATGGAACTGAACATTACTGATGAATTGTTTGCTATTCAATTCAAAAGATTTAAAAACCTAAAAACCAATCAAACCTGATTTGCTACGCTGTTCCTTGCGGTTACAACTGTTGATTGTCCAATGGTGTCAATTTTAGTATCTTCTTTCAAATCTAAGCTTTCGGCCTTTAATAAATGATATATTGTATGAATGGTACGAGTATACGAGCTTTGAATAAGAAAAATTTTAAAACCTCCAATTTAGGCAGTGAAATGTCTTTTGACCTACGATAAAATGACGAATCCTTAGACACTTGATTTGGCGGTGATCCTACGTAGTCTACATCTAAAATTTTATTGTAAAATGAGCTCAAATAGCCAAAAACAACTAAATATTTATTGAAGTGAATATTCACCAACAAAAACTATGTAACCCAGTTTTAGTATAGAGTTGCACCTTCGAGAAATATGAAGGCCACTATATAAACTTTCTAATAAATAAATAATAACTATAATAACAATAATAATTATTATTACCTATTTTAATGTACAAATGTTCGACATAGAAAAACAAAACTATTCCTATTAAATTCATTTTATAACAGATCATTTATTTCTTGTCGAGAGCAAAACCTATCAAAAACCTATCATCACAACGCGCTAAATGCAAAAATTTGAATAAATAACCAACTAGAAGTGGATTCCGGATCATGGATAATGTCTGGACACTGTTTGGAAATTTGTTTTCGTTTGCCTTTACTTCTTTTTATGACACAACCTTGAATAAATATAAATATACCAATCCATTAATTAGCAAAATAATATGCTGCTATTTGAAAACATGAAGCTATTTCTGCAACGATAATGTTAAATAGAGATAATCTTAAAATTTTGAAAAATTTGTATTTTTCCGAATATTCGATCAAATTGACGTCAAATTTTTCTATACTACATCTAAAACAATTTCAATTTTATAAATTTAAAAAACCTTACAAACAAAAAATTTCACCAATAAAATTTGGTCAAAATAGATAATCTAACAAGTATTAGACTAAACAATTAAATATCCTATGAGCTGTTGAATTCGTTTGAAACTAGATACGAAATTAATCAAAAATGTTAAAAACAGTTGAAAATAACTTGCCTAAAATGCCAAGAACTGCAACAATACTGATGATAATGATGATAATAATAATTTTCACCCAGCACGACAACCCTTTTGAAATAAATAAAAATGAAACAATATTTAACGTTATAATCAAGCAATCAGTACAAATCAAACCATTTTCTGCCTCTTTTACATCGGTTTTAAATTCTTCTTCAAAATAAAAATCTCCCAAAACAATGAAACATCTGTTAGCAGCAAAATCGGTGATATATTTCAAATAACAATTTCCTTCTCCAACTTCACTGGTGATGCATTGTGTGTTGTTCATGGTTATCAAGCGTTTACTTAAAGCACATTGAAACAAGGCAGGTGGTGATGAATCAGACCCAGCGTAAGTTATCCACATTTCCAACGTGACATTATTATGCGTTGGTTGAAAAGAAATGCGAGTCTTGTCTGTGTTTAAAATTGATTTGACAACAGCATCATATAACAATCGGGAAACGTTTTGGTTTGAATGAGCACAACATGTCCACTCATTATTACAATTTAATTTTTAATTTTAAAATTATTAAATTTGCCATTACATTTTTCATTATTCACTCATTTCTCATTATTAAAATTTTTAAAAACATCCATAAATGAACAGCAGAACACAAAAAATAAATAAGTGGTAGTTTTAGAGTGAATGGATTTATCATTTTCATCGTTCATGACACAGATAAATAAAATGTTATGGAATTTAACTGAGTTTCGTCCCGATTCTCACTAACGCTTAGAAGCCATGCAGAATGATGTCTGTTGAAGGTGATGACACCAGGCATAAATCTAGAACTTCTTCCGGTTCCAATAACAACACCCATCCAACAGCCACACGTAAAATGAAAGATACAAAAAATTCAGAAGCTACAACTCGATACAACAAACAACTTTACCATCTGTCATTATCTAGCCAGCATAAATACTGTTTGCAAAACGGCTTTCCCACTCATTCATTAAACCATTAAAAACTAACTCTGTAGTAGAATATTTATTAATAAATAAAAACTAACCAATAATGGAGAGGGAAATATTTTTTAGGATAACATGAGGATTGTGATTATAGGAGCACACATAAGTGCCAGCATTAATTGGGCCCACACTTTCAATGCTGATGGCATTGCCAGTTATCATGCTACAAAAAAATGTTCGCTCATTAAATTAAACATTGTAACGGATATTGTCAAAAATTTTATTTTGAATAGAGTTGATAAATGAATAATTAAATAAATTAATTTAATTCTAAAATATTTTTGGCCGAAAGAAAAATTCTCAGAAAAATAAAATAAAATTTGAACCTTGTCAAATGGTTAAGAAAAATTGGAAAATTGTATTTTATTGGAAGAATAATTTCAAAAATGTGACAAAATTATCCTATTTAAAAATGTAACCTATAGTTATTTTTCCCAGCAGCTGCAGTGTTCTGGGTGATCGGAGTTCTATATAAAAACCATTGTATTGGAGAAGATGGGGGTGACTCACAACTCTCCGAAAATGGTTCACCTTTGGACAAGTATCTATGCTTTGTTTCTAAAAAAAAAAGGTGTTCTCAATGAGTTTGTAAACTTCGTCGATTTATATTACTTGATTAATTAGTTATTTTTAAAAATTTCATACCTTTAGTCAACAATAACTTTCCTTGTTTAAAAAGTTCTCTTTTACCATTGTCAAATATAATGCTGTAAACAGAGGGAACCTGTTCATGGGTATGGTAACGTATTTCCAGGTGACACTCTGTGTGATGGGACAAACAAGAAATGCAATTCATTTCTTCATACGACTGATTTTCATTTGTAAAACGAAGTCCTAGTTTAGGCTTTGGTATTTCATCAGCAACGTAAGATACGTTAGCAATTACACGGATGACACCATCATTTCCAACTTTCAGTTCCATCTTGTCAGTATCTGTGACGATTATTCATAATATCCGTCTCATCATCAGCACACATATTATTAATTTAAATAACTCAAAAAAATAAGATGTCCAGTACCTCAACTTACACATTAAAATATGATCTATACAATGTAATTCAAGCGCATGCTTTAAAAAATTTTATATTTTAAATTTTAACATGCCTTAAAAATAGTGCTTATCAAAAAGTGAGCCAACAAACATTTTCATAAGGTGATAATTAAAGATGATGTGGCAGTTGCAAATGTGCAAAATCAAATTAATAAACAAATTGCCACTTAACCAAACTCAACAAAAAAAATGAACATATAATAAGCTTAAATATGACAACCACCCAATGGAACAATCCCAAGCCATGCCGGCTCCAATTAACCATTGAAAAAGTTTTGAATGTAGGGGATGAAATCATTTATTTAAAAAATTGCACGAAATCATTGAAGAACAAATAGAAAAATTTACCTTTCGAGTGCTGTATTCAGATATATAGAATATAACATTTAATATATATGGCTAAATGTAATTTAATGTTATTTTAAAAATTTCAAATCATTATAAAATTTTTTCGTGTAAAACAATTTGTAATAACCATCAGTCAATTAAATAGTAATCAAATGTAAAAAAGGTTGGATATAAATATAAATTTTTTCAAAAAACTCATATGCAAAAATGTTGTTGTTGTTTGTAATGAACCAACTAGCATACAGAAAGAACAAGTTTTAAAAAGAAATAAACGACTAACAGACGACAATCAATTTGTGCATTGTCGTCCATTTTTCTACTCCATCTGTATCCTCCACTCTGCACTTGAAAAAGCCAGCATGCATAATTTCAGCATTTTCAAAATGTAGATCGTAATGATCACTAATTTGGCCTCTGAAATGTAAAGAAAATTTTTTGAAAAGTAAGTTTTTCACCTCTTTGTGTAGTGTAGAACCATTAGTTGATGAAGTTTAAACATTTTAAAACATTATCATCATTTTTACACAATTGTCATCAATTAATTTAAACAAAATAAGATAAATTATGAAAATAATGATGTATCATAATTCAGTTTTATATATTAATGTTTTCAAATTTGTTTAATTAGAATAAAAATAAACATGAGAATTAAAAGAAATTATAATAATATTAAAAATGAACAAGAGATAACCTCTGGTCGAACAATTGATTGTTCACCAATTTGTCAGTGAAGGAAGAAAACTCAAGGTGGATCCATCGATATTTAGAATTGTTATTGTTGTTGTTATTTTTATTATCATTGTCGTTGCCACAAGAAAAAGAAAAAGATGATCCAGTTTCTTTGAAAACTACCGAGTCATAATGAATTTGACTATATAAGGCAGTGTTAACCAAATGGAAAAGAAAAAGAAAAATAAATTTAGATAGGAAAAGTTCCAGATAAAAAAGTCCCATGGTTTATGAAACTGCTGAACTGGAAAAAAATATTAAAAACTAATTAATTTAATCTCTTGGGATTATCTAAAAGAGAATAATAATAATTATTAAATTAAAATTTTTAGGATTTTTTCTAAAAAAAAAGTCTTAGATTTAATATTTAATACTGTGGTATTGAAAAACATATTTCATCACATTACATTACATAAATTAACCAAGATTATTCTAATCTAATTTTTAATTTCAAAATATAATGAATAATAATGAATAAAACAACATAATCTAAAGATAGATTAGTATTATTAGCTATTAGATTAGATAAGATAAAACATAAGAATAAAATAATAAGATCTAACCAGAAAGGCGTGGCAAAGGTAATTTTTTTTAATTCATTCATAAACTTCTGCTTCAAGTGAAGTCAGAATAATAAATGAATAAATAAACAATATTTATTATAATTAACATATAATTGTAGTCTAAAAAATGAACAATAAGTAAAAAAATAATTACAAAATGTAAGGTAGTGAAAATGTAAGAATTTCAGCAACCGTGTGTAAATAAATAGTAAATGAATTGTCATATATCCTTATATAACCTATATTCTTTATATATATTTACACACACACACATCATCACAAGAAGCAAGAAGAACCACAGCGATGATAATAATAATAATGAGAACTCTTTTATTTCTTCATAAGCCAAAATATAAGTAAAAAAAAATTACAATTAAATATAAAATGATCAATTATTATAACAGTTAAAAGATTAAAATAATGGATAATTTAACATCAATGCTCGTCATTATGAATGTGTGCAAAGATGATAAAATAATATAAAAACTAGAGTCAAGCTTTATTTCTGTCACAATATATTGCATAAGTAGATGCTATCGCAGAATTGATTAAGCTAGATCTAAAATCGTCACACCAGTTTATTTTAGTTTGAGATAAATTGAAAGAATTATAAAGTCCTATTGGCAAAATTTCAAAAGTGTTGATTAAAATATTGCAATGCTTAAAATCATTCGATAGGTTATTCTTGAGGTTGTTCTTGTACTTATCCACTTTGTAGTTTCTTGATTTGGTGTAATTGGTTTCATGACATACTGTTAGTTCCAGTATTTCAATCGTTTTTTGTACAAGATTGCTATGTCTGGTCTGAGCGAGGTAAACAGTTGCGACACAGGGCGGATCGATTATTCTTCGATATCCGCAAAAATGATTGCTCCAGGCTCGATGCATGATTTGATGTTGTTTAAGATGATGGCAAGTATTTTATTGTGGCGATTTAAGTACCTAGCGAGTGCAGATGGCGAACCACAGTTTGATACTACATGCTTATTTGTTTCCTTGGCGTTACAGAAAGAGCATGCTGCGTTGTTCGTTTTTTTCCATTTGACTAGGTTAGCGTTGGTTGGTAGTTGTTGAATGAGATATTTCCTTATGAATTTGTATAAAACATCTGGCAGGGATTTTGTTGCATTAACCCAACGGGTGATCTCTGAGTCGTGAATGTTTTCCTTAATCGACTTTATCAATGTTCCTTGGCATTGTAGCGACGATAGATGGCTGAAGTCATTTTGGTGTTGACGCTGTTTCAGGACGTTGCACTCCATTTGAATATCGTTGCTTTGGATTTGGTTGTCGACTTTTTTGTATTCGTTCTTTGATTCCTGCCACAGAACTCTCATTTTTTCCCTGGTGTTTGTTTTTAAGTGTCTCCGAAGTTTTAATCTCATTAGCTCTGTGTGATGTTTTAGCGATTTTATGTTTAACCCTCCACTTTTGTAAGGCAACGACAAAACTTCAGCAACACAATTACTTACGGGAAGAGACAACCAATCTCTTACAGCTTCGCATATCAACGGGTCTAGGCTTTTACCTAGCCAAGTAAGCGAAAGATCGTGACTAACCTCACCAAATGCATTTCTGAGATCTAGAAAGGTGACGATGATCATTCGATGATGTTTTTTCGCATCTTTCATCAGGTGGGTAAGTAGATGAGTGTGTTCCGTCACTCCGTCCAATTTTGGATAGAAACCCTTTTGTATTGAGGTGTTGATAAAGCTGTTGTTTTCCAGATATTTGTGTATTCTGTTGTTAAGGCATGTAGAAAAGATCTTGTAGAGAACCGGTTGGAGCGTTATCGGTCTAAAGTTAGCTGGGTCATTGGGGTCACTTTTTTATAGATTAAAATGGTGAAGCCCTTTCTCCAACAGGATGGAATCGTAACAGACCTCCAGCATTCGACTATTAATTGGTGAAGGATTGTGCGCAGCATAGGGCATTTTTTGAAGACAATTATTGAGATTTGATCGAGCGGACAGGGGTATGCTCTAAGTTTGCATTTTCTAATAACTGTTGCTATTTCGGGGTATGTTGGGGGATCGTGGTTGCATGGAATTGTTGGTTGTTGCAATGTTGGAACCCAGTTCGGAAGGCGAAACTTATTGTGAAATGGATCGTGGAGTATGTTGTAAAAATATTTCTTGAAATTGTGAAATTGTTGATGTCGGATACATTTGGTAAGGACGTTCTGTGGAGTTGGAAGTATGTATTTGCTTCCCTCCAATGTTTTAGAGTCTTAGGTAGTTTTATTCCAATGAGAGGAGTTTCCATGATGTTGCTGTCCAACCTTTCAAGGGATGCTTCGCGTTGTGGTGGTTGGCGACAGTTCCAAATTTTTGTCAGATTTCTCTGGGGTTTCTAGTGCGTTCCTAAGGTTTTTAAACATTTTGCAAGAACGTTGGTGTAATTTCAAGCCCTTCCGACCCTTGCAACTCTTGCCACAACAACATGGAATTAAATTATTATCGTTGTTAGTTAAAATATCGTTACTTTTAGAACTATTAAAAATGTTAGGAGATATCACAATATTATTTTTTGGTGAGCTGCGTATATTAAAATTGTCATTATTATTCAACGTTGTTTGACATTTACCAGCGTTAACAGTTGAAATTATATTTAAAAGCAAAATAAAACTAAATAAATATTTAACATTAGATTTTATTAAAACTAGCTTAACCGACAGAATTTTCTGCATCTTTACAACTAATTTTTATATTATTAAACTTTATAAAACCAAATTAAAGTAGGTAAAAACAGTGAGCAAACTAAAATCGACCGACTCTCATGTTTACGATACAATAATCGTTAACAATAATAACGTTAACAATAATAATAATAATAACGTTTTTAAATTTTGTAAAAATAATATTAATAATATGTAGTTAATTAAATAAATTAATTCGCGCTTCTCGGCTGAGCGTTGATATTTACCTTAACAACCATAATATAAACAATCTTGATAATTTGAAAATTGCCGTTAAAATTTTAAAAATCGCGTTTTATATTGTTTAATGTTATTAAATTTATTTAATTAGTTTTCTGTTTTAATTAAATAATTTATATAAATTAATAATTACTTGTTCTTTCTTATCAAATATCTTACATACCTTATTTATATATAATGCACTGAAGATGAGTTATCTATAACTCGAAATAGCTATTTGCAAATTTATTTAATAAAAATTTTTAAAAAACAATAAAATGTCTAATTTCTCTGACATTAATAAATTAAAAAGAAATATGAAAAAGTTGAACAATGTTGAAAGTAGTGTTGAACTTTTGAAATGTTGCGTTAACAACAGTCTGCTACCAATATATATATATATATATATATATATATATATATATATATATATATATATATATATATATATATATATATATATATTGTAAAGCGAGTTGGCGGGAAAACAACTTAGGGCAGACTGTAAATGTGTCAAGCGTCATTGTTATAGCGCGATGTTCTGGTTCAAAAACTATTTACCCGAAAATTCAAAATCATCATACAACTTGTGCACATACTCGTGCACATGATGCTATTATATAGTCTTCAATACCTCGTTATCGCATTGTTATCGTATCGTTATTCGTCAAACCGTATCGTTTCAAAATAATAGCAGGACGCAGATTCTTATGTAACAAAATTAATGGCAAAATCCTTGGACAGTGCCTACAATGCAATTGAAAACACACTATAAATGCGGAAGATATGTATGAAAAAGATATGTATAGGATATGTAGATATGTATAGAAGTCTCGTGGCCGAGCGGTTAGAGTGTCCGTCTACCACTCCCACGACCCGGGTTCGAATTCTGCAGTTTCTACAGATTCATCCGGGTAGCCGACCCCCGGTCAACCAAGCCGTCCATCCTTTCGAGGTTGGTAAATGGGTAGACGACGTAAGTTGTCGCATGTTGGCTGGCGAGATGGCTCGGTGGTTCAAATGCTCGCTGAGTCAAAACATCTCAATGGCTATCATATACTCAGCGTATATGATGCGGTGCTTGCGCGTGCACACAGATACATGTGTACGTCGTGTGAAAAGGATAAACAGCCTTTGTGGCGAAAGATGGCTGCTTCAAATCAATAGATGAAGAAAAGAAGAACATAATAAAAGATATATAGATAACATAATATATCTGTAACATTGTAAGTGGTTCTGCGTATGTCAGAGCTGCAATAATAAAGACTAATAAAAAAAAAAAAGAAAATGCACATAAACAACGACCAATTAGATAACTAAAAATGGAAAGCAACACAGCTGTAAGTGAACGACCAATGAGATAACTAGAAAAGGGAACAGCTGTAACTTAATGAATGAACGAAAATACGGAGCTATCGAAGTATCAATTTAAAATTTAAATAGACTTTAAAAAAATAAGGAGCCATCGAAGTGTTAATGTCACGAATATAAAATATCAATTAATCGATTACAGGCGGCAATATAAATTAGTATTTATATAAATTAAATTTTTGGACAAAACGATTGTATACATTTTATTCCCTTTTACCATTTCAAAAATTGTATTTTTTTACATTAAATAATATCAAACAAATGTACTAATAAAAATAATTATAAAAAAATTAAAATTAAAATTAAGAAAAAAGAAAAATTAAGGTATCATAGTCCCTAGCATATGTTGCATTATGTACAATGATATTTCCGAAAGGCAACTTACCGAATTTTTCTCTCCACATAAATTCAGCTAAATATGTAGCCTTCGAGTCTTTGGATGTCCCATACATATATTTAAATGTACGCTTCAATCTGGCCCACATCGATTCGATATTTTGTGTGTGTGCACCCGTGACTGGATCAACAAAATTTACACTGTGATTCACTGTGATTTGAATATAACCCAAGTTGTTCAACTGACTGTATGCACGCCACTCATCAGAGACTATTGTTGTCCCAGGAGCAATCCATTTTTGAATGAGAGGGATTAGAGTTTGTGAGTCTCGTGCTTGTACCTCCTCTGCAAAACATATTTTCGTCCCTGGCTGTATTCCTCCAAACACCAATCCATCTTTATATCTGTTGTTTCTTCCCCTATAATATTTTGCCTACAGAACTTTAGTTTCATCTATTTCTACAATTGTTCCGGGACCCCTAATCTGTACAAAATTATCAATACAACGGTCTATACAAACGTCCCGGCAAAAATTGTACCAGTCCACGACAGTATTTTTATTTACGCCAACCTCTTTTGTTGTCAAATATACAGAAATTTTCCATGCCCAACAATAAAAAAATTTGTATCGTTTTCGACAACTCTAATTTACTATTTTCAAAAAATGAATCCTTTCGAACACTTGTCCTCATTTGGCAATTTTTTTTGGACATCGCTAAATGACTTGGTCAACTTTATTAACTAAATGAATAACCTCGTACATTTCTTCCCCGCTGTTTTCGCAAAACATTTCCCGATGCAACAGCCCATTAAACCTTAACCACTGCCTAGATATTCTACGATTTCTAGTGAGACAATATAGCTTGTTAAAATTTAAACGATTTAATATTATTGCCTGACTCATTTTACAATAAATCGTCTTTTTCAAAAAAGGAACTACGACGCGCGAAACAAAATGTTTCATTTTGGGCTTATTCAAACAGCTATGGCTCGCGTAAATAATAACCACTTCAAAATATTAAAAATTGTTTTTGCGGCATTTTTACTAGATTAAGGAAATACATTTTATTTGTTAATTATTTGGTATTTTCATTATTCCATTTCATTTCAATTTTTAATTATTTGATGATATAAATGGCCAATAAGATTTTTTTTTCCCATTTTTATTATTATAATAAAAATTATTTATTTTATTTTATTATTTTAATATAAATAATTTAAAATAATAAAATTTGACAGTTCCGTATTTTATAAAATTTCTTACATTATGTTTCGACATTGTGCTCACAATCTCATTGGTCGTTGTCTATGTGCACTCTTTTTCATACATATCTCCCGCATTTATAATGTGTTTTCAATTACATTGTAGGCACAGTTCAAGGATTTTGCCAAATTAATTTTTAGTAATTCTGTGTACTCTAATTAAACGAAAATTTATTAAATAAACTGTTCAGCCAATTTGACATGATTGAGTCCGCCTGTTAGATATGCTTCACCGTAGCCGTAATCGTATCGTTTCTTTTATGTTTATCTTAATTAATTTTATTTAGTATACAATATTGTTTTATTGTTTTTGTTTATACACATTTCTTTGATATTATATTTTGATTTTATATTTTAGTTTTATATTTAAGGTAATTCTAATTTATTTAATTCATTTTATTTGAATTTCTTTCTTTTCGTGATAAAATTTTTTCTTTCTCGTTGCAACAAGTTTAATTTTATGCATATGTTTTTTAATTCTAATATTTTGTAACAATACTAATTAGTTTTTAAAAATTGATACTGACGTTTGACAACATTAATGTGTTTTATTATTTTTTGTGGGGTTCCTTGTTATTTGGAACTTTGGTTTCTTTTGGAATCCTTTTTCATGTGTTTTCATGAAATAAACTTGTTTAAAAAAAAGTTTCAAAATAATAACGAGACGCAGATGCTTATGTAACAAAATTTATTTTTAATTATTCTGTGTAATATTATTAAACGAAAATATATTAGTTCAAACTGTTCAGCCAATTTGACATGATTTGTTCCGCCTGTTAGATATGCTTCACCGTCGCCGAAACCATCACGAACATTACCTTCGTTAACATTACCTTCATCCTATCAATCAATCAATCAATTAGCTTCTAAAGCGCTATTTTCGCGAAGTTCAACAGCGCTTCTTAATGAATTTTGAAAACAGATGGGTCTTGAGATCCGCTCTAAACTTCGCAAGTGATGGAGAAGTAGTCAGAGAAGTAGGGAGAGAGTTCCAGAGAAAAGGACCAGAAAAAGAAAAGGCAGATTTGGCAAAAGAATGTTTAACACGAGTTAAGAAGAATGAGAAGATGATAGAAGATTTTTTGGAGGTCTAGAGAGTTCAAGGAAGCTGTAACCATCAGGAGTAGCAAGAATAAGAGAGGGAGAGTTAGAGTCCTCGTGCCAAGTTTCAGTAAGAGTAAAAAAATCAGGTAAGGAGGAAGAGATTATTTGATGGATATAGAGCGATTTTTTATTAATTGATCTTATGTTAATATTAAACAGTGAAAATGTAGAGGTAGGTTGAATATTGGTATTTTTAAATCTAGTTATATTATTTAAACTAATAGAATTAGAATTATTATTCTTATCATTAGTATTAATTACATTAGGATTAGAGTAGGATTTAATAAAATTATTATTATTCTTATTATACTTGCTAATAACATTATTATTATTAATATAATTATGGTTACTAACTATATTTATTTTTTTGTTAGAGTCAGATTTATTATTTTTATTGTTATTATTAGACCTAAGATTAAAGTAAAAAATTCGCCGCCGAACTACTCTCGTCGGAGACAAAGGAGTGTTAGAAAGGCTTAAGAGAAAGAGAAAGTCTCTAGAATAAGACATAATAATATTTCCAAGTTAAGGAAAAGATGTTGAAAGATATAGAAAAAAATAGTCATAGTAAAAAAGAAGAGAACTCACTTGTTCAGAAGCAGAAAACAAGAATCCACCCAAATTAAAAAACCGCCGAGAAAACGTGCCGCCATCACGCTAAAAGTAAACGTAAGTCTTAAGAGAAAGTCTCTAGAATAAGGCATAATAATATTTACAAGTTATAGAAAAAGATATAGAAAGATATAAAAATAATAGTCATAGTAAAAAAGAAGAGAACTCACTTGTTCAGAAGCAAAAAACAAAAATCCACCCAAATTACAAAATATATAAACGTAAACAAAATAATACTATATATATAATACATAAATTGTAAAGAGAGGTAAACGTAAAATTTAAACTAACTAAATAACAGAATAAATAAGTAATGAAATTACAGTAGAAAACATAAGTTTTTAAATGTTTATTTTAGTAATTATTAAAATAATTGTTCAATGTTTGTTTTATATAATTACACATACAAATTACGCAATTTTGGTTTTTCCATGGTTTTACATAATAGGTAATGACTAATGACTTCAATCAATCAATCAATCAATCAATTAGCTTATAAAGCGCTATTTCCGCGATGTTCAACAGCGCTCCTCAATGAATTTTGAAAACAGATGGGTCTTGAGATCCGCTCTGAACTTCGCAAGTGATGGAGAAATAGTTAGAGAAGTAGGTAGAGAGTTCCAGAGAAAAGGACCAGAAAAAGCAAAAGCAGATTTGGCAAAAGAGTGTTTAACACGAGTTAAGAAAAAGCGAGAAGAAGAAGACGATCGTAAACCGGGGCGTTTAGGTTCAATTAATATATCTGATAAGTACTTAGGAAATAATTTAGATTGAGACTTATACATTAACGTGCAAATTTTAAAAATTATTCTATATTTTATAGGTAGCCAGTGCAAGAGAACAAGATATGGAGATATATGAGAAAAGAAAGGGGCACGAGCAACTAGACGAGCAGCAGAGTTAAAAGCTTTACTTAAAGGATAGAGTATAGAGTCAGGAAGACCATAGTAGAGCGAGTTACAATAATCAATCCTAGATAAGACTAACGAAGTAACAAGAAGGAGAAGAGTAGGATCATCAAGAAAAGGCAAAAGTTTTTTTATTCTACGTAGATGAAAGTAAGAACTTCTAGCAACACTATTAATCTGAGAAGAGAGAGACATAGTAGAATCAAAGATAAAACCTAGACTACGAAACTTATGAGA